TTTGCGATAAAAGAAGGCAAATAAATCACTTTCGCCTCGCATGTGTCTTCTTAGCTAGCCCATATATTAGTGCAAAAAACCTACTAGTTAATAGGTTACTGCAGTCGCATTTGAGAAACATCACATAATTATGGGTCTGGTTTTGCTATAGTGTGACAAAGGAAGCGTCACATAAATGAGAAATACTTCTTTTTCTGCCACAGCCGGCAAGGTTCCTTTTGGCGTTGCATAAGTTTGTTGCCAGACTTTGGGGTGGTTGTTGCCAGATTGCCGCTAAATTTGGCAGAAAAGTTTTCTTCTGTAGTTGTGGCTTCTTCGTAAAAGTAGCGTACCCCGTCGTAGCGCGCGGTCGACGCGACAGGATCAGCTGAGAGAGGGAAAAAAAGAAAAGTAAGGGGGGAGGGGGGCAGCGCATCACCTCCTGCGACTCTATTCAGTTTTCCCCGTAATCCCCTATACTGAGACACGATGTCTTAATCGCACAGCTGCGCACACAGCAAGAGAACGCGCCTCGACTTCTGTAGGGCGGCTCATTCTGTTAATTAAAACGGCCTCTGAATTGCGCAGCAGCGCCGCGCTCGACTTCTGCTAGGTGCGGTTCATTCCGCTAATTAAAACGGCCAGTGTCGCTCATGCACTCGCGAAATACACCGCAGATAGCACCAAACTCTTACGGAGAAGCCACAACTACAGAAGAAAATTTGTCGGCTAAATTTAACGGCAGTCTGGCAACAACCTTCCTTCCAGTCTGGCAACCACTTATGCAACGCCAAAAGGAACCTTGCCCCACAGCCTCCTGGCCCACCTGACATGGAAGCAAATGTGTACAATGGGCAAGGAACCTGCTACATGACATGCCTTGTGAAGAAGCAGCCCTGAGTGATATACGTGTTATGAGGTACCACTACATATATGTATAAAATACTGCTGTTGACTAATTAACTGTGTTTATTTGTTTACTTTGGAAAACTTCATGCATTGATTATGTATTCATTTCATGCATTGATATCTGGTGATGTTACTTGGTTTTCCAGACTGCCATGCAATGACAGGATGACTACCCCCGAATGTCCACTCTGCAAGCACGATGAAACATCTGAATGTCCACTACAACAGGTCATCTCTAACCTCACACATGTAATGCTGTATTTGTGAATGTTTTACTGTGCATATCGTGGAGAGATGCTTTAGATTGGCTATAAGCATTGCCTGCCTACCGTGGCATGGAATCTACACTTCAATAACGTTGAAACTGTAACACTATTAGTTACATTGTGTGGCGCTGCTGAGCTCAACAACACTGTTTGATCCCAGCCACTGTAGCCATATTTCGATGGGGGTGAAGCGCTAAGACGCTTGTGTGCTTAAGGGTTTGTTCAATTTGCCTGCACCACATGACCCATTTTACAAAGTGCTGCACCTCGCGATTCGTTTCAGTGGCGCAGCAATGGCATCTTCCAAGTCTTGCCATTCATTTCAAAAAGCGCAGAAGAGGTACAGCACCAAAACTATTTCATGACTTTCCTGTACCTTCTGCTCTGACGGCGCTGGTTTGGTGCAGCCGCTCGCACAGCTTAACAAACAACATAGCATTAGACGTAGGTGCTGTACCCACCCCTATAAATGCGGCGTGTTTTGCCAAGATCTTTGCACCTCATTAAATTAAGCGAACGAAAATAGGGATTACACCTTGTCATTCACTTGTGATGCTGCACCGCTGAACTCCTGTCCCACAAGTTCTGAACTTCTCGTGCACAGCTGTGAACAAGTTCGGATTGGTGCAGGTGAACTAAACTGACCCTTAAAAGATGGAAACTTGAAAATATGAAAATTATGTTCACATAAGGGATCAAAGCAAATGTTTCGACAAGCTGTCTTGTCTCTTGTGAGGCTACAATGTCATTTGTTTGAACTCCTGGAAGCCAGAATCAATCTAAATTTGCCCACTACTGTACGACTCACAATCACTTCATAGTTGGCATGTGAATCGTCGGAAATTATTATTCGCACTACATAAGGAACACACCCACAGTGATGGGTATTGACAGGCTTTCCGACATTTAGTTGTGCCTTGTGACAGTTTACAAACAACACCCAGAACTGTTCTGTCCTAATTAACTGTGTTTACCTCATGCAAGTTTACAAAAAGATGCACCAGAGCTCATAAGACTGCACTCAATTGCTTTAGCTTTGCAGATATGTTCAATGGCCTTCTAAAATAATAAATCATAAAGGTGATGAGCAGTTGCAGCACAGCTTCCTCAAAGACGTGAATGCTGTCAAGAAGAGCAAGATTGTGTTCATTGCATGTGGTACTGTTTTTTTTTTTGCTGAAAAAAGTTCCAGATTTCTTTGTGCACATCTGCTTCTGTTTAAATTAAGTTGTCATAACTATAGTGTCTACCACTACGAAGTGAAATTCTGTGCACTATGGTCATGAAAAAGAAATCTAGGAAATCGCACAGGTGTCACAGGTCCCGTTAATTAGGGAGGCGATCGCCGGGCTAATTCCAAAGGCCGAAGTATCGGCCCACCGAACCGCACCACGAAAGCGTGGTCAATTTAGAAGTGGTCCTTTTTGGCGCGCCAGCGGATGCCGGCTGTGGCCCAAAGAACAAGTCAGAGCCGAGAGTTGATAAACAAAACAAAAATTATATTCTCAAAAATGGCAGATCAAAAACAATACACAAGTATGCACACTCCACAATAGTTGAGTACAATATGTCACCAATCAAACAACGTACTACACAGTACAATCAGCCTCACTCCAAAGAACGGACACAGACAACAATACGCACTACAATGCAGTCGCATGCATTGAACAACCAAGACACTTAAAGACAAAAGAGATAGAAAACCTATTCAGTCCAAAGTTCTTGTAACCAAAGTCTGGATGATACTCTTCCGGGAATCACTCACTCAAACTCCAGCGTTGTTTTCGTTCCGCTGCCTTCGAAGTTTCTCTTCCAGGAAACTTCGCGTCTTCAATTGGCCACTCTCCAAGCTTCAAACTTCTTCGCCTGAAACACGTCGGCTTCACACGCGCAGCTCTTGCCACGCGTCTTCGCTCGATAGCGGTAGACACACGCTCTTGCCTATAGCTCGAGCCTTCACCCCTCAGGTGGAAATCCTCTTCTTCTCCTGCTTTGTCCCTACGGACAAAACCTTCGCCGACTACACGGCGGAATCCCTACGCGCTCTGGCGCTAACTTCCGTCTTCTCCTGCTCCCTCGTCTCGGCTGCTCGATTAAATACCTTCCGCACGAGATTCCAGAAAGTTCTCATCATTTCATCGGCGCGATACGCAGCGAAGGCTGGGGAGAGGGCGAGACGGCTCGAAGGCCGTCCGCGAGGGATGACTCAACCCGGCCTCACCACGCCCCTTTCCATCTAGAAAGTTCGAGTGCTCGCTCGGCCGCCGTTGCGGGGTGAGGAGGTTCGTCGGCGAATCTACGCTTCCGAGGGAGAGAGTCGCGCCCGGAAAGTCTGGATGTTTGTTACTTTTTTTTTGTATCGTTGACCTCGCGGCGTCACTCCGGCGTTTCGTCGCGAGGAGTTGGCGGCGCGCCCTTTTTGAGCGCTCGTTCTGTGACAACAGGTAGTTGAAACATACATGATCTTCACTTATCTACAGCCACACTGCAAGATAGTACATATTTCAAGTCCTAACCTCTAAAAGTAGCAGGGAGAAAACAACTTCATTTTCAAGCACAAGTATACTGAAAAGGTAAACATAATAACAAGTGTGTAATAAATGTGACCTTTATTGATCCACTATTCGGACAGATTCACATCATGTACCACCAATTGATTTCAGGAGTGCTTGCTTGCAAGAGAGTACTTAAGTTCTCTGGATATATGCAAAAAAAAAAGAGATTGTGCTCAGGGCTGAGCAGATAGTGTGATGTAAGAGTACCAACAAAGATGTAGATACAACAAAAATGTACAATGCATACCTGAAGCTTATTTCCTTAGAATTAGGCCTTTTCGATCTGTAAGCACACACCTCATAAGTGTCCCTTTAGCATACATGTTCGCTGCATACTCAGCAGACTGGTCATTACCTGGGACGAGAAATTCTAGCTTTGGTAACTGTGTAACTTGACTCTAACAATAAATGTAGCAAGCCTGAAATATTTTTAGCCCATCCCCTAAATACATAATACCTATGATATGGGCTCACGGCTGAGTATTAAAACTAGTGCCTACCCTCTCGACACGACGCGACATTGAAGAATCGTGAAGTACTCAATGTAGCATTGCAGAGCGAGAATGATTCAGAAATGCACGCATCCGCAATTGCTTATTTAAAAAAAATTAGCAAAACAACATTGCTCTAACTGCGCGAGCTATCTATCGGCAATGTGCAAGTTTCCTTCCCGATTCCACATCATGCATTCGCTTCAAGATCAACACTACGGGGCAAGCGCCGCATCTGACGGCAGAATCGGACCCTTGTCCTGAAGCCACGCTATTAAACTCGAGACGCCGCAACACAATGAGAGCGACGTTCATTCAGCGATTGCGGTGTTCAGTTGTATGCATATGCTTGTTAGCTTTCAAGAGTCTTTACACATGGGTTGAAAGCTTTCGATATGTATGAGTGACTTGTTTTGTCCGGACCCGACCTTATACATTGATTGTACCGGCTTGGACACTCGCAATAAACGATGCAAACCTTACTTAATTGACGTTATTTTTGCCAGTCGAGGCTAGCTAGGTCCCCTGGCGATAATTACAGACGCGGAAGCGAGCAGCGCGAACCAGCTGCGGACCCCCCACCTGTATCAAAAAAAAATTGCGTCTGTTTATTGATGATGATAGTACTGCTAGCGCCATCTCGCCTTGCGGTATTGCATTTCAGTACGCCGCCGCTACTTATTATTTGCATGTTATTTTGATACAACAGCCCAAAGGTACAGTTGCCCTACAGATGCAGAGAAATTAGAGAGATAGTTTCGTAATTGTGTTTGCAGAGCGGCAGAGCAAAACATAACCTAATTATTTCTGATCATTACTTTCGCACTCTAAATGCTCGACAAATATGTAGGTAATAATTGACCGTTTGCTGCCGTGTTTTTTGAAGTAATTCGCGAATACGGCGGTCTTTCCGTCCTTCATTTCTGTTGTCCTTTTCTCCTGTATCTCCGTCTTTGTTTTGCTTGCTTGGGTGGCCTGCACGGAGGAAGGGGTGGCCTGTGTTGCTGTTGTCGATTATTTAATTTTTTAGCGCCAGCGTGCGTTTCAAAGCCTTTAAATATAGAAACCGGCCTTCACATTTTTCCGTCGCGGGCGGCAATCGTTCGGAGCGGCAGGGTTTAGAACGGTTCGCGACAGCTGCGCATATATCCGACGTTTTTCCTGCACCAATCTGTGCATGTCTCTGTTGCTTCTCAGGTCGAACCTACCGCGGTTGTCCCGTTTGAATAAAGATGCCTTGAAACCGTTATTTTGGCTGCCTGCACGCGAGAAGCAGGTTCTTTCAGACCCTGAAAATATTGGGCAGCGTCAGCAACATATTAATTTCGACACGCTAGGAACTTGGGACAACCGGATAGATTTGCCGCTGCTGCTGCAGCAAAGTATCAAGGTTGGTAAGCCCGTACCCAAGATATCGGGTGAACATGCCGGCTGTGCGACAATTCTCGGCCGGCGAACATACAACGAAGACCGCTACAGGTACTGCAGTCGTATTTTGTGTTCCTTTCTTTTTGTGTTGAAGCAAGATGCTTCTTTAGCAACATACGTGTGACAGCTTGTGTTATTTTATATTTTCGCTGGCGATATCCGCAGTAAAATGTTACTAACCTCTGCGATAATTTTCGGTCACAGCTGCTTTATACCATCACTTGTGATACGGCTATTTTGCTTTGAATCGCTTGGTGAGCATTTTCCAGGATGGCATCCTTCCATAGTATTTCCTGATTGATCTAAGCTATACGCAAAGAATTCTTCTCATTGTTGACACCGCACATAAAACAAGCACGGCGGGAGATCCGATGTATCAGACTTCACAGAACTCTGGCGCAGCCTTGTCAAATCCTGTGTTATCCAATGAGTTTGTTATTTGTTCATTTTTTTTTAATATTTGGCTGAAGGTATGTTATAAATGCAGGGTCAAGGAGCTTACACCGGACCTCCTTTACTTTGCGGTCTTCGATGGACATGGTGGCTCGGCATGTGCTGACTTCTGTGCAGAACACATGGAGGCACATATCATGTACTGGGTTCGAAGAGGTCAGACAGACCTACAGGCACTGCTGCAGTCGGCCTTCATTGACGCCAACAATTCCTTTGCCAAATATGTTGCTTTTAACTGGCCAGGTAATTATGGTTTGCATGCATATTAAGCAGTACTGCAGATAGTATTCTCTAGGTCGCTGTGGCATGACTGATATTTCTGACAAATTACCAGGTGTGAAACTTCCATTTACTATAGTAGTTCTTAACTGCCCAGATGTCTGAAACAATTCCTAGAGCTTCCACCAAAAGTTATGACATTGGTATTTCCAGGATTGGCTAGAAAAAATACAGTGCTTTCAGAGCATTTCTTGACACTGTGTAAGACACATACATTTAGTGTCCTTGTGAGTTTATGCAGTTTATGAAAGCGTACATAAAGAAGCCCTTTGATACAAATTAAATGGGCCATTTCTTTCGTGCCACATCCAACAGTACTACTGGTACTGTAGAATGCGATGATGTTATTGTGCTATTAGATGTGCTGAAAACAACTAGTTACCATTTTATTTTTATTGAGAAACTACCTCCTGCATGAAATACAGCTACATGCAACAGCAATGTTTTGCATTGGAGGTGATGTTTGGTGCATGTGAAAGTGCGACCAGTCCCTGTGGGTTCAGAATGGCTTGATGCAACACACCTCATATAATATTGATATGGTACCAGCTAATACAAAGTATTGTGTGCCATAAAAATATAAAAACATCCCATGTTTTATTAGATCTTTTGAAAATCATATTTTAAGCACAGTTGCAACATGAAACTAGACTGTGTTCTGTGAAATATTCCATATGCCCGTTAGTACTATATTTCATTCATGTGACATAAGCAGTCATAATTATGCTATACAGTTTTACTGTATTATTCTTCTTCAGTGTTGGTGGTAAATGTATGTTGTGTGCAATTTGTTGCTTGGCCTCTCACTGTATAGTGGTGTACTGCACCTGTCATGTAGTCATCTGCATGTATGCATGGACTACAGTATAGTATTGATACGCAGTTGGTAGCTGCGCAAGCAGTGGCAACATTCCAGGCATTTATTTTCGCCAGATATCAACGTGTCATGGCTGCAGGCTTTTGGTCCTGCGAGTGTACAAAGCACGCATACCATCGAAATAAGCTCACTGAGCGAGCACAAGGCTCAGTGATGCCGTTTCATCTTGTGGCTGTGTCCACGTGTGGCATGACATCCAGCACGTCTTTTTCTCACAAGCACTCATGGCTAAGGTCTGTCAGGTCATTCAGATTTATTATATTGACTGAATGCTACACGAAAACCGTGGAAGCGTCTTTTAACACAAGAACAGGCATTGCTATAACTATAGTAACAATTCAATTAAAAAGAGCATTGGCAAAATGTTTGCAAGGCAAATGTTTTAATTTATGCTGCACATGCTGATTAGAAGTGACTAGCAATGTCACTGGGAAAGTAATTTGAAAGGAAATATTTTTTTGCTTGTCTCTCAAGTGTGGAACATCAAAGACTAATGTTTTTACTTCTTGTTCACCAATATCTGCAACTCTGTTTGCATTAATTTCAGTGTTCTATAAAGTATGCACTCCTGTGCTACAGAAAGCAGTCGAAAAATTGTTGGAGAGCTTTGTCAAGTGGTGAGCAACTCTATTTATTGATGTAAAATTGTAGCCCTGGATATAAATGAAAATAAATAGCACTCCTTGTAGCTTAATTATTTGAAGTATAGCTTCCCTGAAAGTAGGGGAAGAACAGAAAATAAAGAGAGGCTGAAAAAAAAAAAAGGCACCACGTGTATTACTCTCGACACTCCTGCTTGGCATGAATAAGTGGAAGTGCATTCTGCTTGCAAGGCAAGCCAGTGTTCTTGAAATGCATGCTTTTCGAAGCTTGTTCTTAGAAACGAAGTGCAGTGTTTTTGTTGCTCTGCAATTGAAAATGGCACGACTAGTTAAGAGTTATCATTGGAAGCATCGTCTAAAATTGAAAGGTTAGAATAAAGACCAGCCGATTTAAATATGTTGTCTTGAATAGGTGCAAGACACAGGAGTTTTCCTCCTTTTTGTTGGAAAATGCAGTCAGGTGTAAGCTTCTTGGCTGGAAAGTCATGCCCACTCATAATTCATGTGCTTTCTCTTTTGACAAAAAGATGGTGAGGATTCTTCATCGGGGACTACTGCTACAGTGTGCATCCTGAGAAGCAGCACAGAGCTGTATGTAGCCCATGTAGGTGACAGCAGGGCCTTGCTCTGCCGCAGTGGGGAGTCGCGTCGACTTACTACGGACCACACTGCAGGCCTCAAGCTGGAGGAGGTACCACATCTTAGTTATCCTAGATTTTATATTTGTTTCGTAATGTTCGAAGTTTAGTCTGCTGTGATTTTACAAATATTCTGTCAAGTTAAGGTGGTTGAAATTTCTGGATCCCTCCACTATGGTGTCTCTCATAATCACATGGTGGTTTTGGGAGGTTCTACCCCACATATCAATCAATCATGTTCTGTCAAGTTAGACAAGAAAAAAGTTAAGTTTTCTGTGAGTTTTTAAATGTGTTAATGGATGGGGCACCTCGTGTTAAAAAATATGTGTATAATTAAAATTATACTAATCTTTGTGGCGGTGTAAAACATCTTAGGCTGTTTGCTTCGAGCAGGTGTGTTCAGACTGGTTCTTCAAGTAGAGAAAATCAGCAGTTGCAGAGTAGCATTAAAATGAAAGTAAAGGTGGCACTTCTTAATTTACTCCGTTTGGCGGTTTGTGGTGCATGTGCTGCACTTCAAAGGTGCCTCAGCTAACTCTAGCTGGAAATTAAAAATGTGCTGAAGTGCAGGACGATGCCGCCGAATTTTCGTGGCAGGCTTATTATGAAGTATCTCGCACTATTTTTGGTGTTCTGTTTAATTGGTCAATATTATTTACCTGTTCTTTAGCCAATGAAGCTGGGCAGGAAATACGAATCGGAAATTTGTAGATCAGTTTGCAAAATGTCCGATTTGACAGTTCCCAACTTTCTATATACTAAGTATCAGTGTTTTTGTTCTAGTACTGTTGCCTGTAAAATTAAAAAAAAAGATACCATGTTACATGTCCTATTTTCGGTTCTGTATATTTGAAATTTATTGAAATGCAAGTGATACAATGCATGCGATGAATACAGATACAGAAGGAGGTCTCAAAGTTGTGTGACTCGGAGTGAGACCTGCTGTAAAGTTATACACGAGCGATATAACTCTATAGTAGGCAGTGTACAGATACAAAACATAAGTTATACAAAATGGACAGATTCGCACGAAAAAGCATGCACTTAAATAGAATAACAGTTACTCTGTATGGTATTATTACGTAAAAATGGCACAATGCATGTCTATTTAGAATCTATATTGACACTGATGCGTATAGCATCGACCAAGATAGAGGACAGCACGCACAAATAACAGACCACTTCCTCGTTGTCATCTTCTGACCGCTGATATGTCAGCTACGTAGCAATAAAAAGCACTAGGAATTTAATAAATACCAACGCAAAGCTTTTTTGAACATTACGAGGAGTACATTTTTAATATTCAAAGGCAAAGAACTCTACAAAAATACAGGCAAAAATTTAGTAGTAAACTTGCCATAATTATTCTCTGGTTGGGTTAACAAGAATATTAGCCTTTGCAAAACAAGTAGGTGACACTTGAGAAAGCTAACATGAGTGTAGTAAAGGTACGGAATGTTTTCCACCAACATATTCTGTGGGAATCGAGGCTAGCCCACAGCCTTTGCGCGGACTTCGCCGCCTCTTTCTGCGTTCTCATGTCCTGACATGACTCCTCTCCTCTGCGGTCTGCCGCACTGGGAGAGCGGGGAGTGACGTTTAACCCTCTTACCCGGTAGCGGATGTCCACTGTGGCGCCGTTCGCAAAGTCTTTTGGGACGTCTCACGCGCGCGCGTCGAGACCGAGGGAGAATCTCTCCAGGGGACGACATGGGGTAAGCACGCATTTCTTTTCTATCCGTCGGCTCCCTTTGTTTTGAGGCTCGTTCGAACTTCGCCCACAGCGTCCTGCGCCCGCGACCAACGCTTACCTTTTGTCGCCCCCCTTACCAACGCTAGGCCGAAGAGCGGTGCGGTGTCCTAGTGTGTGGCCAGGCTACGCCGACTTGTATCTCTCTGAAGCCAACGCGAGCGCCCTCGCTCAAGCAACCGGGCCCTTTGTCCCGGTGTCCTGTGAATCACCTTTGCCCATGGAAACGTGCTCGTGGCACCCCTGTGTAATACTTCTTGCCCGTGGCGTGGATAAGCCCATTTGCTCTCCCGCCACGTCTTTGCAACGGGCTCTGTAATGCGTTTTTGGTATTGTCGCAGACAATAAAGTGTTGCGACCTTCAGCAGTACTGTTTGCTCGCCACGGTGACGGTTTAACGCCTGCCCTGTGGCTCTCTAAGACCAGACCCACGCTAGAAGCCGTAATCCTTCGTGATACTTGTACACTACAATTTGTAAATAAAAGTGTCAAGTAAATCTTTGTTCAACTTCTGCACTGATAAAATTCCATGTGAGCAGAATAAGGAAGGTGCATTTGACATACTGAACATTATTTTTAATGCTTGGTTCTGAAAATGTTAATTGACTGATAAATGTGTGGCATGCGTATTACACCATGATAAAATGCAATAGGCTATGTTGATGGGAAAAAAAGCGTAGTGAAGTGACAACAATATTTCGAAATGAAAGAAAGGGCTAACTATTAGCAGGATTCGAATGGCGTGTGCCGCTTGCCACATGAGCTCTATACGTATGAATGAAACTAAAGACATTGATAAAGTTTGGCCCCTAGAAACATCATACTAGAAGTAACATGAATTTGACTATATCTTACGTAGACAGAAGGACTTTTGGGTATAATTCGATTAGTTGACAATAATACTACAAAGTTTGACTTTTTAGCATTTACATTTAATGTATATTCATTGAATAATTTAACATAATTTACTACATGTGTTGATACTCACATGCATACGTCAAATAACTCACGGCCCGCAGTCCCAAGCAGCTGCGAAGCAACTGGCCACGGCGGCGGTCAGATCTGCAACGCAGAAGAGGGTGCTAAGAATCTCTGGATCCGGACAGGCCGCCATTCGAACCTGAACTTGGCAACGTTTAACGCTAGAACCTTATCTAGTGAGGGAAGTCTAGCTGTACTATTCGAGGAGCTAGAGGGTGTTAAATAGGATATAATAGGGCTCAGTGAGGTAAGAAGGACAGATGAGGCCTATACGGTGCTACAGAATGGGCACGTCCTTTGCTATCGGGGCTTGCCTGACAGAAGAGAACTGGGAGTGGGGTTCCTAATTCACAGAAACATAGCTGGCAACACAGAGGAATACTATTGCATTAATGAAAGAGTGGTAGGCATCGTATTTACAATGAACAAAAGATATAAGATGAGGGTGGTACAGGCTTACGCGCCTACATCCAGCCATGACGTTTCAGTTGAAAGCTTCCATGAAGACGTGGAATCGGCAATGAGTAAGGTAAAAACACAGTATACTATACTGATGGGAGATTTTAATGTAAAGGTAGGGAAGAGGCAGGCTGGAGACCAGGCAGTAGGAAATTATGGCATCGGTACTAGAAACACCAGAGGAGAGTTACTAGTAGAATTTGCAGAACGCAATAATTTACGGATTTAGAATACCTTCTGCCGAAAAGGAGGAAACCGCAAGTGGACATGGAGGAGCCCTAATGGCGAAAATAAGAACGAAATAGACTTTATAATGAGTGCACACCCAGGCATCGTGCAGGATGTTGAAGTGGTTGGCAAGGTACGATGCCGTGACCACAGAATGGTACGGTCTCAAATTCGCCTAGACTTGAAGAAGGAACGACAGAAACTGGTACGCAAGAAGCCAATCAATGAGCTAGCACTGAGAGGGAAAGTACAGGAATTCAGAGTCTCGCTTCAGAACAGGTACTCGGCTTTTAGTGAGGAAACCAACCTTAGCATAGATACAATGAATGATAATCTGAGGAGTATCATTACGGAGTGTGCAGTGGAAGTTGGAGGCAGGCTAGTTAGACAGTACACTGGCAAGCTTTCCCAGGAAATGAAGAATCTCATTAATAAGCATCAAGTCATGAAAGTCTTAAATACAACAGACAAAATAGAACTGGCAGAGCTTTCAAAGTTGATTAATAGGCGTAAGGTATGCGATGTAAGAAGGTATAACACGGAGAGAATTGAACACGCTCTGAAGAACGGAGGAAGCATCAAAGCAGTGAAGAGGAAACTTGGGATAGGCAAAAATCGGATGTATGCACTAAGAGACAAAGAAGGCAAAATAACTACCAATATGGATAGAATAGTTAAAATAGTGGAGGAATTTTACAGACATCTGTACAGTAGCCGGGACAACCACGACTTTAATACCATAAGTACTAACAGTAACCCAGATAACACCCCACCAGTAATGATAGAAGTCAGAAAAGCTTTGGAGAGCATGCAAAGAGGCAAAGCTGCTGGTGAGGATCAGGTAACATCAGATCTGCTGAAAGATGGAGGACAGATTGTGTTAGAAAAACTAGCCACCCTGTTTACGAGGTGTCTCCTGACGAGAAGAGTACTAGAGTCCTGGAAAAATGCTAACATCATCTTAATACATAGGAAAAGAGATGACAAGGACTTGAAGAATTGCAGGCCGATCAGCTTGCTCTCTGTAGTATACAAGCTATTTACAAAGGTAATTGCTAACAGAGTAAAGAAAACATTAGAATTCAATCAACCAAAGGAACAAGCAGGATTTCGAACAGGCTACTCAACAATCGACCACATTCATACTATCAATCAGGCAATATAAAAATGCTCAGAATATAACCAACCACTATACATAGCCTTCATCGATTACGAGAAAGCGTTTGATTCAGTAGAAATATCAGCCGTCATGCAGACACTGCGGAATCACGGCGTCGATGAAGTATATATAAACATTCCGGAAGAAATCTACAGGGTATCAACTGCTACCATAGTGCTTCATAAAGAAAGCAACAGAATACCAATCAAGAAGGGTGTAAGGCAGGGGGACACAATCTACCCAATGCTATTTACCGCGTTTTTACAGGAGGTTTTCAGAAGCCTAGAATGGGACCAGTTAGGCATAAGAGTTAATGGAGAGTACCTTAGTAACCTGCGCTTCGCTGATGACATTGCATTGCTGAGTAACTCAGGGGACGAATCGCAACTCATGATTACGGAGTTAGACAAGGAGAGCAGAAAGGTGGGTCTTAAAATTAATCTGCAGAAAACGAAAGTAATGTACAACAACTTCGG